TTGCTATTGCTACACCAAAGCTGTTCTACCTGGTGCTCAGAGGTTGGAGAGTGTCTGGCCTGCCCTGAAAAGACACTCTGGGATTTGGGATGGAGGGCTTGCTGGGCAGCTATTTTCCTTTACCTGGGGGAAAACTCAGTCCTGAGAGGAACAGCTTCTTCTGAACTAGCAGCAAGGGTCTGCAGTTTAAGACAGACCTTTGGGTCTGGAGTGTTCCTCAGTGGTAGAGTACGTGCTTAGCATGTGTGAGAACTTAGGTTCAAATTCCAGAACCCAAAAGAGAGAGAAGGGGGAAAAAAAAGGCCCTTGGCCTTGGACAGCTGTTTACATGGTGGTGTGCAAACAGAACTCAGCAAAACTGCAGTCCTCATTTTTTTCCCTTTTTCTCATGAACTCATTTCTTGGTGTGGCGTTATTTTTGCATCTCTCCTGAGGAAAGCTTTGAAAGTCCCAAAGAATTATATCAGAGAGGAAAAAAGAAATTCCAATGTAACTTACCTCTTTAACATTTATACTTGTAATATAGATTTTAAAAAATAAAATTAAAAAAACCTAAACTAAGTTTTAGATATACAAACTAGATCCTGAATCAGAGCCACTTGGTGGAAAATGTAGATGAGTGGTAGAGTACTTGCCTAGCAGGTGGGAGGTCCCGAGTTTGATCCCAAGTACTAAAGGGAAAAAAAAGAAAGAAATCTTGTAAATATGTGAAAATTCCTTACCATTCCCACAGAAGGTGAGGAGGTCCATACCACACTTTCTTGCTAAGTTTATATCATAATGTTGTTTGAGTGCCTGTTTATTTTGTTTTGGTTTTGCTGGGCATTTTTAAATGTTTGGAGTATTGGGGATTGAACCCAGAGGAGCTTTACCACTGAGCTACATCCCCTTTTTATTTATTTAACTCTCTCTCTCTCTCTCTCTCTTTTTTTTTTGGTACTGGGAATTGAACTTGGGCACTCAATCAGTGAGCCACATCCCCAGCCCAATTTTGTTTATCTTTTTAACTCTTGAGACAGGATCTCACTAAGTTGCTTAGATCCTCACTAAGTTGCTGAGATTGGCTTTGAACTTGCCATCCTCCTGCCTCAGCCTCCCAAACCACCGGAATTATAGGTAGTGTGTGTCCGGCTTTGCCAGGCATTTTAAAGACAGCTTTAGGTGAGAGAGAAAGAGGAAACCAGACTGTAACAAAAACAAAAACATAAACAAAGCCTGATGAGGAGGGATGTTTTTTATGTAATACTATGAAGACTTGGTGGATTTTGAGCCCAAAGCATCCTTATTACTGATAGCAGGTTGATGCCCTGAGAGTAAATTTTAGGTCAGGAATGTTCTGCGCAAAATTGAGGCTGTGCTTGGCCACTTCAAGATAAGACAGACAAATAATGGATTGCAACAGGATAAATTGCCCAGTAAGATGGCCCTGGCCCTGTCTGCCCCTGTCTCCCCCTGGCCTGGCTGTCCTCAGATGACAGGAAACAGACTTACTTTGTTTTTTGTCTTCTAGTCACCTTCCCTTGTGTTTCATTAGCAGAGGGACTTGAATTATAAACACAGTTCTGCCATGAGCTTCCTTGACTGAGTGTGGCATTTAGAGCATTCTCATCCTTTTTTGATGTTTCCCACTATCTTTCAGATCTCTTATGATTCTTTCCAGGACATAATACAGTGCCTAGGCACAAAGTAGATGTGAGAATTTTTTTTTTTTTTTGGTACTGGAGATTGAACCCAGGGGTGCTCTATTTTGAGACAGGGTCTGCTAAATTGCCAAGGTTGGCCTCAAACCTGATCATCCTGTTTCCTCCAAGTCACCTGGGATTACAGGCATGCTCCATCAATAAATTTGATACATGGTTCAAAAGTGGAGAGGAATTTTGCAGGGGGTGGGTCAAAGAGTAAAAAATGAGGGGCTGTTCAGTTTCTTTGAAGTCTTGTTTCCAACAAGCAGGGGCCTCAGATGCAAGGCTCAGGTTATTCTCAGAAGTGTCTTGAAGATTGTTCCTAGGCTCTCCATTTGGGTTTGGGCTATCTTTTCTGAAGTTTCTCTGCATTAATGACAATAACTTTTGGATGGCAGTCACATGCTTAGAAACAAATCATTTTGATCTTGCCTTCTAGAGCAGAGATTTTCCCCTTGAGATCTGATCTCTTTTACTCCAGTAAAAAAGGCCAAGGCTATAACACTATTTTGTTTTGGTGACAGGATGCCCTTTCTCACCAACTTCTTAAGGATACCATTTTCAACTACATAACTTAGATTATTTCTACCCTCTCCCACTCAATCTAAGGTTGCTAAGAGGTCTGGTACTTTTTTTTTTTTTTTTTTTTGGTACCCGGGATTGAACCCAGGAGTGCTCTATCACTGAACCACATTCCCCAGTCCTTTTTATTTTTAATTTTGAGACAGGGTCTTGCTAAGCTGTGTAGGGCCATGCTAAGTTGCTGAGGCTGGCTCTGAACTTGTGATCCTCTTGCTTCACCCTCCCAAGCTGCTGGAATTATAGGCATGCACCATTGTGCCTGGCTGGTACATTTTTCTCTGCTTCCTACCACCTCCTAACTCCCAAGTTCTTACCCATATGCCAGTAACTGGGACTAGTTTATTTTATAGAGAAGAAATCATATGATAATTGGGGGGTAGGATTGAATATACATGTCTTGGGGCTGGAGGTGAACTCAGTGGGAGAGCATAAAATCCCAAGGCTCTGCATTCAATTTCTAGAACAATAAGAACAAAACAAGCAATATCCCTTTTTACTTCAAGGATGGTAATGGGAAGTAATACTTATCCATCATGGGTAATAGTGAGTAGTGACTGAGTATAGTCTATTTGTTTTAGTATTTTTTTAATATTTATTTTTTAGGTGTAGATGGACACAACACAATGCCCTTATTTTTATGTGGTGCTGAGGATCGAACCCGGGTCCTGCCCATGCTAGGCGAGCACTCTACTGCTGAGCCACAATCCCAGCCCTATTTTAGTATTTTTTGCAGAGGTAAATTATTTATTAAGAACTATCAATGGTGTGTTAAAGGGTCACATGGAGACTGTCCAAGGAAGGCTTTACAATAATAATATAGTAAACAGACAGGTGTGGTGGTGCACGGTCTATATCCCAGCAGCTGAGGAGGCTGAGGCAGGAGGATCTTGAGTTCAAAGCCAGCCACAGCAAAGCAAGGCACTGAGCAACTCAGTGAGACCCTGTCTGTAAATAAAAATACAAAATAGGGCTAGGGATGTGGTTACCCCCCTAAATAATAATGTAGTGAACATTGTCTGATTATATTAAAAATATATATTGAATCCAAAGACAGTTAAAATGTTCCCCTTACCTTTTCTTTCATGCTGGGAATTGAACCCAGGGCCTTTCCCAGGCTAAGCATAGAGTCTATCACTGAGCTATACCCCCAACCCTGTATTCACTCTTTTTAAAAATATTTTTTTTTAGTTGTCGGGGGACCTTTATTTATTTACTGATTTATGTATTTATATGTGGTGCTGAGAGTCAAACCCAGTGGCTCACACATGCCAAGCAAGCGCTCTACCACTGAGCCACAACCCCAGCCCCACTATATTCACTATTTAACTACGTATGGTTCCATGTCTCTTATAAGGAGAGTGCATAGGAAGATTCCATATGCCTCTGTTTAGGCTGTCAAGTTATTATTTTTATCTGTTTATTTACTTGCTTTCCCTTGATTAAAAAAATTCCATGGTAGTACAGGAAATATGTGATATTGAATAAAACTGTCACTTCTGAAAATATGCAGTTAATGGCATCATATAAATAAAATTTAATAAATATTGTTAATATTTACTCTTGAAACATATGTTCAATAATTCCAAATTAAAAAAAAAATTCTTACAGAACCAGGTACAGTAGCACAAGTGTATAATTCTAGCTACTCAAGAGGCTGAGGCAGGAGGATCACAAGTTTGAGGCCAGTCTGAGCAACTTACTGAAGACCACATCACAAAATAAAAAGGGCTGGGGATGGAACTCAGTACTAGAGCATTTGCCCACCATGCAAAGGGCCCTGCGTTCAATCCTTCCCTCCCTCCCCCCAAAAGCTCTTACAAATATTTACTGCTATTTCTACATCTTTGGTCCCTTTTCTGACATAGATTTTAGAACAAACACCATAATCTGTTCCCTTTTCCTATTACATGTCAGAGTAAAACAGAATAGAAATATCAACTTTTAAAGGCAAACAGGCACTGGAAAGGAAATCAAGTGGAAGAAGCCCCTGAAATCCCAACTCCAAGCGGGCAAGTTGACCACTTTGAATCAAGTGCAGGATTTTCTTTCTTTTTTTTTTTTAATATTTATTTTTTAGTTTTAGGTAGACACAATATCTTTATTTTACATTTATATGGTGCTAAGGATCAAACCCAGTGCTCCTGCATGCTAGGCGAGCACTCTACCACTGAGCCACAACCTCAGCCCCAAGTGCAGGATTTTCTATTCCATTCACGGGGAAAAGGAGGAAGAGAAAATGGAGAAGACTCAAAAGCTCCGAGTGTCAGTATTGATTCCTTAGGAATCTGGAAACAAGAATCTTTTTGAGGCAGTGCACTATTTTGGTTTTCTCCACCTGCCTGCAATTCTTTAATCTGTGGGGAGATGCTGAGACACTGAAGAAAGAGTGCATAGATCATTCGTGTCATGTAGCCAAAGCAAAAAAGCAGAAGGGGCTGATTTTCTTCCTTTTGATTAATGGGAGGGCTATTCACTTTGGAGTGCCTCCATCTCCCTACTTGTCACACAAGAAATACTCACCTGACTTTAGGGCTGCCAGAGGTGAAAAGAAAACTGAAGTTGAGAGAACTAAGTGTATGACAACAGGTTCGCAGCACAGCTTATATTGGGGGAGAACAAGTTCTGAGGGCACTAAGGATATTGGCAACAGGAAAACTGAGGGTTAAATTTCACAAGAAAGGAGGGAGGTGGCTTTGTGGGGTCTCAGACTGGGGGAGGGGGCATGTGTTTGACAGGCTTCAATGGGACCACTGTCTCTGCCTTGGGATACAAGAATCATTGCTATTTGTCCTGCATGCCTATTGTGCGTCAGGCTCCTTAGATAGTCATTTCATTTAGTCTTCACCTAAACCCAGTAAGAGGAACACTATCCCAGTTTGCAGATGAGAAAACTAAGGCTCCAGACAGTTAATTTGGTCAAGGCCACCCAGCTGGAGAAATGCCACTCTCCTCATCTGTAAACTGAGGAGTTATTAACAGAACCAGAATCCATCGTCTGCTGGTTTGAATTGCTTGAAATCGAGCGTGAGAATACACGAAGAGAAGAGGCCCTGGACTATTCCGATCTACCGACAAGTGAGCTGGGCTTTTCCAGACTTTTGTTTGGGTTCAAGGTTTCTAAAGCGCAGGCGCGGGAGGTTAGCCACGGTCTTCCGGCGCCCCTTGAGTAGTCCATGGTCGCCCTCTGCTGACGTATGTGGTAACTTGCGGAGAGTTAACATTTCCGGGCCTGAGGGTGGGATTTATCTCGCCTATAGAGGGCGCGCTTCGTCGCGCTGAGTAGGCCCACTCTTGGAGTTCCTTCCTTAAGGACTTCCTGTCTGATCTCTATGATCCATCCTGTTGCGACGTGCGAAGTTCCTAAAGTTTTCAATTTACAGTAAACAAAAGAGACCTGCTCCAACCCGGAAGTGAAAACTGGAGCCTGACCTGAGTGGCTTCCAGCGCCGGCCGACCGGAAGAAGGCAGAAAGGAAGCTGCAGCCATGGCTGTGGCTGTGGCCGCGGCGGGAGTTTTTACCGGCTCGGAGCCAGGCCCCGCGGAAGAACTCGCCAAACTTGAGTATCTGTCTTTGGTGTCGAAAGTTTGCACCGAGCTGGATAACCACTTGGGGATCAACGACAAGGACCTAGGTAAGCTTGAGGAGGTCTCAGGGATGAGATTAAGGAAGGAAGAAGCCGGGTGACTGATGGGCCGACTGTGTGTGTTCGTGTCGGTCTGTCACAGATTTGGACCCAGAGAATCTGTGGCGGTGGCTTCTGCTCGAGAGGTCTCCTCTCCCCCGGTCCCGTCATTTTATTAGAAACCATTTACCAAAGCTGTCAGTGAAGCCTGGGGCTGCCATCTCTGCTTGATACCCCCGTCCCAAGTTACTAAACAACAGCAGCCGCCGCCGCCACAATGATGATGATAATTATGGGTGACATTTACCGAGAGTTCACTGTGTCAGATAGTATGGTCAATTCTTTATTTATATTATTCTATTTGGTCTTCACTCACTTTTTTTTTTTTTTTTTTTTTTTGTACCGGCAGTTGAATCCAAGGGGTCTCAACCACTGAGCCACTCCTGAGCTCCTTTTTTTTTAATTTTTTTTTTTTTATTTTTCATTTTGAGACAGGGTCTCGCCAAAATTCTCAGGGCCTTTCTAAATTGCTGAGGCTGGCTTTGAACTGGGTATACTCCTGCTTCAGCCTCCTAAGCCGCTGTTCTGGCCACTCTTTTAGATAGTATCCTTTGAGCTCTGTGCTTTACCATATCTCAGATAGCCGTCATTTAGGCGTTTGGGGGCAGACTACATCCAAACTAAAAAATTAGAAAAGGCCACCGACCTACAGCTAAGGTCATAGGCAGATGGAGGTGAATAGGGATGGGTAGAAATCAAGGGTATAAGTGACGGAATTGCTTTTGATGGTACAAGGATGTTTCAGCTATTGTAACAGGAGAATATGGCCATAGATGTAACTAACTTTAGAGATTGATGGTAGGAAGATGAGTGAGAGAGTGCCATTTGTTTTCAAAATGAAAATGTAGCGAAATTACCAGATGGAGGAATGGTGGGATGGGGCATGTGATAAGAGGGCTGGAGATACAATATTTCAGTGCTAGAGGGTGTGTGAGGCTCTGGGTTTGATCCCCAGCATTACCAAGAAAGCGGGCGGCTGGGTGTCAAGGAGGTTAGATTCCTGACCTTGGATAAGATACTTAGTTTCTCAGAAGCTGTTTTTCTCAACTGTTAAGTGGGATGATAATATTTCTTCACAGGGTTACTATATAGCACCTTGGAAGATGCCCTGAAGCCAGTTCATTTTAGTTCATTTTTTTCTTGGCCTTTCAGTCAAGATGTGCTTATCTTATACAAATAAAGAATCCCTAACCCAAAAACACAAAATCTGACACTTTTTTGAGTGTCAGCATAATGCTGGCAGTCTGAATATATTGCTGCTTGCTTTGGGATCCTTTGAGTATGGAATACTGGGCACCAAGTGACTTAATTGTCCCTCCGCCTTTCTCTAAAGAATGTTGCTGAAATCAGATTGCGTGGGTTCCAATCTTGTCTCCACCAATTATTATTGGGAAAGATGGTGTCTCAAACACTATAAAATAGTGCAATAACAGTACCTACTAATGAGAATTGTTGTGAGGGTCTTGGGGATAACCCATATAAAACCCTTAGTTTATTGCTCTGCAGATAATAATGTTCAAAAAGTGTTAACCATTAGCATTGTTGTTATTAACTTAGTGTGTGTGTGGAGGGGGTACTGGGGATAGAATCCAGGGGCTCACATATGCTAGGCAAGTGCTCTATCACTAAGCTGCATCCCCAGTCCTTTTTTTTTTTTTTTGAGGCAGGGTCCTCACACTGAGTTGTTCAGGCTGGCCTCAGATTTCTCCCTCAGCCTCCCAAGTAGTTGGGATTATAGGCATGTGCCATCCTATGCTCTTAGTTTGTTATTATGCATAAGCATTATGCTTAGTATCATTACAAAAATAAAGGCAAATTCTACCATGGAAATGGTGTGGTAATACCAGTCATCCAGATCTTCCATTTATTTATTTATTTATTTATTTATTTATTTATCTATCTATCTATCTATCTATTTATTTTAGGATTAGCATTCAAGAAAATAATCATTAGTAATTTCTTGTGGAACTCACAGTGTGAGGTTTATTATCTCAGCCTATGTTATAATGTGCTTCTTTTCTGAAAGTCTCTTTATGAATAAATTGCTGTAATATTAGAAGTATTTTTGTTCTTTTTTTTTTTTTTTTTGGTACTGGAGATTGAACCTAAGGGTGCTTTACATCCCTAGCCCTTTTTACTTTTTCTTTTTAGACAAGGATTCGCTAAGTTGCTGAGGCCCTTGCTAAGTTGAAGAGTGAGGCTGGCCTTGGACTTGTTGTCCTCCTGCCTCAGCCTCCGGAGTCACTGGGATTATAGGCATGTGTCACCATGCATGGCTACTATTAGAAGTTTTAAGAACTAAGCATGTTTGAGGAGACAATTTTGGGAACAATTAAGTCTTTCATCAACTTGGAAATTATACCATCCAATATCTGCCTGACTTTTACATATAGATTGGGTCGGACCTTCTGGAAACCATAGAAAGCATTCTATGTGTGTCTGTGTGTATATGCATGAGCTCATGCTTTTGTACATTCTCACCTTTAGAGTCTATGTGGCAATGTGCATAGCTGATAGTTTTGTTTTGTTTTTGTGGTACTGGGGATTGAACTCAGGAGCACTCTACCACTGAGCTATATCACCAGCCCTTTTTATTTTTTAACTTGAGACAGGATCTCACTAAGTTGTAGAGGCTGTCCTTGAACTTGTGAACCTCCCATCTCAGCCTCCTAAATTGATGGGATTATAGACATGCGCCACTGCACTATGCCATAGCTGATAGTTTTGTGAGTAGAGGATATGACAGTCTGGGCAAATAGGTCTTCCTAGTTTAAATGTGCTCAAGGACTTGATTGAGCTGTTTTTAAATAATGTTTTCATTTATAAAAAATTGACTAGAACATATATGGATAATCTCAGCCATCTAAATTTTCTTTCTTTACCTTCACTAGATGATAGTCTTTGGCTTTTATGACTGTTGGATAACCTGATTAGTTTTTTTTTCACTGTACTTAAAACTAATTTCTTGCTCAAGTTTCTATTCTTAATTCTTTTTCTCATTTGCAGCTGAATTTGTGATCAGTCTTGCTGAGAAAAATACTACCTTTGATACTTTTAAGACTTCGTTGGTCAAAAATGGTGCAGAATTCACAGTATGTATATTTGAAGACTATTTTTTTGTTTTGATGTCATTATTGAGTTTAAATTTTGGGAGGATTTAATGGTAGGATTTGGATGTAGGAAGGAGGCAGTTTGTATATGCCTATTAAATAAGCCATTTAATGTGCAATGTTTTCATGCCATGAAGCAGTGGTGATGAAGCTGGATTTCCTGTGCCTCCTTTCTAGGAAATTGCATTATGATTTCCATCATTAAATATTTTTGGATGTTTATGTTCTTGTTCTGTGAATCAGAAAGTCTGAAACAAGAATCTAGGTTTTATGGGTTGGGGATGTGGCTCAAGCGGTAGCGTGCTTGCCTGGCATGCTTGCAGCCCGGGTTCGATCCTCAGCACCACATACAAAGATGTTGTGTCTGCCGATAACTAAAAAATAAATATTAAAAATTCTCTCTCTCTCTCTCTCTCTCTCTCTCTCCCCCCCCCCCTTTAAAAAAAAACAAACATAAAGAATCTAGGTTTTAGAGGTGATGCTAAAGAATAGGAAATAAAATGGTTGAAGGGAACTAAATAACTTTTCCACTAAGGATTCGTAAAATTAGCATTCTCTAAAGCTGCTATTTCTAGCTTCATGCTGTACCAGGTTGAATTTTGTGTTCATTTGTTCCATTAGCTAAATTCAAGTGCGTAATTATCCCTCACATTCTTTTTTTTGGTACTGGGGATTGAACTTAGGGGCACTCAACCACTGAGCCACATCCCCAGACCGGGTCTCACTGAGTTGCTTAGCACCTTGCTTTTGCTGAGGCTGGCTTTGAACTCACAATCCTTCTGTCTCAGCCTCCTGAGCTGCTGGGATTATAAGTGTGCACCACTGCGCCCAGCTCTTACATTCTTTTTCTTTTCTTTTCCTTTCTTTTTTTCCTTCCCTTCCCTTTCTTCCCCTTCCCCTTCCTGTTCTTTCCTTCCCTTCTTCTTCCCTTGTCTTCCTTCTTTCCTCCCTCCCTCTCATTCTTTCCTGAGGATTGCACCACTGAGCTATATCCACAGTCCTGTTTATTTTGAGACAGGATCTCACTAAGTTGTGGAGGCTGGTCTTGAACTTGTGCTCTTTCTTACTCAACCCCTTGAGTAGCTGGGATTACATGTCTGTGCCATACCTGAACACTTACTTTTTTTTTTTTTTTTTTTAGTTATAGATGGAACACAGTATCTTCATTTTTATTTACTTATTCGTTTTTATGTGGTGCTGGGGATCGAACCCAGAACTTCATGTGTGCAAGGCAAGCGCTCTAACACTGAGCTATAGCCCCAGCCCCCTATATTTATTTTTTAGGTGTATATGGACACAACACAATACCTTTATTTTTATGTAGTTCTGAGAATTGAACCTGGGTCCCGCGCGTGCTAGGTGAGCGCTTTACCACTGAGCTACAATCCCAGCTCTTTTCTTTTTTTTTTTTTTTTTAGTTGTAGTTGGACATAATACTTTTATTTTATTTATGTATTTTTATGTGGTGCTGAGGATTGAACCCAGGGCCTCGCACATGCTAGGCGAGCTCTCTACTGCTGAGCCATAATCCCAGCCCCCTTACTTTTCTTTTCTTTCTTTTTTTTTTTTTTAAATATTTCTTTTCAGTTGTAGATGGACACAATACCTTTATTTATTTTATTTATTATTTTTATGTGGTGCTGAAGATCGAACCCAGTGCCTCACACGTGTTAGGCAAGTGCTCTACGACTGAGCCACAACTTCAGCCCCTGATCCCTTACTTTTCTAAGCATGTTTAATCACTGATTCAGGGTTTGACAATTTTTTCTCCAAGTGTCCAAATAAATGAATAAAAAATCTAAGAAGGACAACCCAGTGAGGTCCTGTCTCAAAAGTAACAAGGGCTTCTGATGTAGCTCAGTGGCAGAGTGCTTGCCTGCCATATGTGAGGCCATGGATTCAATTCCTAGTACTGCAAAGAAAGAAAAAAATGAGTATCAAACTGCTGCTGGACCTTGTCTTATCATAATAAAAAAATAATACTATTCATTCACAGACATAGGAGTCTCTTTTTCCTTTTCTTTTCTTTTTTCTTTTCTTTTTTTTTTTTTTGTATGGGAGATTGATCCCAGGGGCACTTTGCCACTATGCTACATCCCCAGTTCTTTTTTTTTTTTTTTTTTGGAGAGAGAGAGAATTTTTTTTAAATATTTATTTTTCAGTTTTCAGTGGACACAACATCTTTATTTTTATTTTATGTGGTGCTGAGGATCGAACCCAGCGCTTCGTGCATGCCAGGAGAACGCATTACCGCTTGAGCCACATCCCCAGCCCCATCCCCAGTTCTTTTTATTGTTTATTTTGGGACAAAATCTTGCTAAGTTGCTTAGAGCCTTGCTACCTTGCTGAGGCTGGCCTCAAACTTGCAATCCTCCTGCCTCAGCCTCCTGAGTTGCAGGGATTAAGTCAATTTGGAGTAAAAATTCCCTATTTTAAAAGATGTAGTCCCAATAAAATTTCATATCTTATGAAAAATTGAATAAATATATATATATATCGTTTTGAACTGTACCAATAAGTGTAACTCTTAAAGCCTTATTAAAGTCATAAAAAATAATTTTAAAATTTCAATTTATAGCCCTATTTTGCAAACATGATAGGGTGATAAATAATAGACTTTGAAGAATAAAAATATGGGCCGGGTTTGTGGCTCAATGGTAGAGCACTCGCTTAGCCCACATAAAATAAATAAATAAATATATAAATAAATAAAGGTATTGTGTCCATCTACAGTAAAAATATTTTTTTAAATACATGTAGGGTATGAAGATGTGAATTTGGTGTCAACATACCTTATGTACAATCAGAGATATGATAAATTGTGGTATAAAGAATTGTAATGCAAAAAAATAAAATAAAATAAAATAAACAGAGCTCCTGGAAAAAAAAAAAAGAAGAAGAAGATGCATTGAGAGCATTCTGAATTAAAGAACTAGGGAGACACCAAAAAAGAGAGAGAGAGAGAGAGAGAGAGAGAGAGAGAGAGAGAGACATGAATGATGTATATCTTTCCATTTCTTTACATAATCTTTAAATCTCTTAGCAACATTTTGTAAATGCCAGTGTACATTTCTTTCACATTATTTTTCAGATATATTTTTAAGTAGTGCATATGTTAGAACATATTTTAGATGGTATTTTTTTCTAATTTTCAATGTACAGTCGTTCACTACCAGTATATAGATATACAATTGATATATAATTGATGTTTCTTTATTGGTACTTTATACAGCAAACTTGCTATGTTATTATTAGTTCTGGTAGCTTTTGCAAAGGTTTTACTAATTTTTTTTGCATAGGCAATCATGTCAATTAACAATAAAACTTATTTTGATTCTTCAAAAAAATTTAAAAATAATAAAAAATTTCATACCTGGGGGATGAAATTAAGAGAAAAATGATGTTAAAAAATTTTTTTTAAAGGTTATTCTTGTGTGTGTGGTGTTGGTGATTGAACCTAGGGCCTCAGGCAAGCTAGGCAAGCACTGAGCTATATTCCCAGCCCCACTTTGTATTTTTAAAATGGATGATGGGGTGGTTCTAAAATCACTATGCTATTTGGACAGAAGTGGATTGATATAAATGAGGGATTAATACATTGTATACAAATATTTATAACACAATGGACATTATATCCTTTGCAGCTACTTAAATTTAATCAATGACTTGTTTCAGGTATCAACAATGTGGGAGGGGGGAATACACATTTTCAAAAATTTTTAGGTAGTACTGGAGCAAAAAGAACTGAGGGCCAGTGTTCTGAGTGACCAGGTACTTTGGGGACAATAGCCCTTTTCACTGACGAACCGGGTGCAAATGCTCTCAAGTCAGACCATCTGGGTTGAAATTATGTTCTCCTTTTCCTATTGTGTTAGGCATGATTCTTTCTTCTTTTTTAAATTGAAGTATAATTTATACAAAGAAGTCCATTTGTTTTCACAACATGAACACTCACATTACTGGTGTCAGATCAGAATAATTCCATCGTCCCAGAAGATCCCCTCATGCTAAGTTTCTTAGTCTTTCTTCTACTTATCCTATATCTCTAACTTGGTGATAATAATGCTGACTCCTTGGGGTTGTTTTGAGGATAGATGAACTAATACCTGCATTGCAGTCAGGGTGGTACCTGGCACAGGATGAGTGCTATGCAGTTGTTAATTTGTCAAAATTCCTTGGGGTCATCAGGCCAGCACCTCTGTTTCCTTTTACCCAAGTCTGTGCCCAGCAAAGCTGTCTTCAGGTCTGCAACATGCTGAATGCAGTGGAGGGTGAGCCCCTACCCAGCTCCTTGTGAGAAGAACTTGGAATAGGCCACAGCACAGTCAAGGACCTAATGACCATTAGATAAGTTACACACAAGGCCCAACATGAAATGTGCAGACTTTATTAGCTGTGTGATACTCAACTGCCTTCAGGGAACTCACATGTTGTCATGGAACTATCAGGGACGGAGGGGCAGAGGGCTGGAGCTCTGCCCTACCATGTTCACACAGAGGGCACCTCTACCTCCAGTCCAGTTGGAGGCTTTCCAGAAGAGGTCTGACAACCTCAGGCCTTACTGCTGAGCCTTGGAGTGGTGAATGGTTTTGAGCTGAGAGGTGATCATCCAGCCCAAAGCAAGACTCTGAAGGAGGATCAGAAACTTCGTTCTTCACTGATCCCTTGTGGTCCTATAATTTTCATCCACACTTAAGTTCCCCCACCCTCCACCAGGTGAGCTTGTCCACACAGTATCCCAGAGGAAGGCTGGGCAAAGCCTCTGCATCACCTAGGCTCACCTGGGTAAGTAGTTCGCAACTACTCTAAGAGAATGGTTTTCAGAGACCCATCTTGGGATCTGTCTGCCTCCTTCAAGTTTCTTAATTTTCACCTCACCTGCCTTCCATCCCCATGTGGTGTCTTTCATCTTGTGTTTCAGCAGCCCTAACTTCTTGTAAATCCAGGATCTGAGCCATATCTCTGAAACTCCAGCTGCTTGGGGATGGAGCCAAGGTGTTCAGGGAGGGAGGGGAAGCGAGAACTACAGATGAGTCCCTGTACTTCCAGGGGACAAAGAGGAGAGACCAGGGGTGGCAGGAGCCCCTCAGGCTGCTCCTGCCCTGAGGTTGGCATCAGAGTTTTGTCCATTTCCACAGCCAGGTGAGGCATCCTGGAGGAGGAATTCCTGTGCTCCGGTGTACATTTGTCTAAGTCACCATAGCCTAGCATCTGGGAGGGGCAAGAAAGAGGAGGCACTCCAGGAGCCCCTAGACCAGGCTGGGAGTTAATCCACCCAGGGATGGGAACTGGCAAGAGCTTTACCTACTCCTCCCACACCTCAGGGTTCTGTCGTCCTTGCCCCAGATATAGGGTCTGTGGTCACAATCGAGGCTCTGCCACCACCCTGTCTAGGCTACCCTGCTATCATGACTAAAAATTGTAAAGGAAGACAGGTCCTTGGTCATTACCCAACCCTGGAAGAACATCCAGAGTCCTTGCTTTTTTACTTTGAAGTTAAAAGCCACAGCAGTTGTGGAACACTGGAGGCACTGGGCCCATGGGGTGGGGAAGGCATGCACCTGCCCCCAGGGAAGTCCCTGGGGATGACCTCACCACTCACCTGTGCAGGGGGCAGATGGCATTGCGGCAGCCCAGGACCTGGACTTGGAGTCACTGAGGGTGCAGGAAACAAGGCCAGGTCATTGGAAGCAGGGGTTTCCAGGATATAGCTGCTGTGGCTCTGGGGCATGGACTGCTGAAGCAGCTGTAGGATGTGATTGAGGTCTGAGGACAAGCGGGATTCCAGCCTGCCAGACAGAGCCCCGAGGTCAAAGTCAGGGTTTTAAGAGCAGTTCAGGTCCTGAGGGCATCTCTGGATTCTGTAGCCTGTGTGCTTCTCCTCCTGAGTGAAAAGGCAACCCTGGGTCCTACCTGCAGCTACTTCCCCATTTGGATCCACAGACTCTGCCCAAGTTCCCTTAGTTCATCCCTAATGATACCAGTGACCAGGCACAGAGCACATTCAGTCCTACTAATGATGTTTTGACATGGGTATTCCAATCATGCCCATTACATGAAAGGGAAAACTGGGGCTCAGAGGTGTTTAATAACTTGCCCATCCATACTCTTGCTCCTGTATTACCAAGTTAAAATTTGAACCCAGGATTATCTTGCCATTATAGCCTTGCATCTGAAGCCACGTCCCTTTTCCAAGGTCTCATGGAATTTGTTTCTGCACATGGCTGTGTCCCTTCCTTAAGAAGCTTCCCTGGCATATTCCAGGTTTTGCTGGAGGAAGCCATGCAAGGAATTGTGTGCTTAGTGACAGGGACAGGGAAACTTCCTCTAAATGAGCCCCCCATTCTAAAACCCACCCAGCACACAGCAATACCCCAGAACCACCAGGAGAGGGCACCCACTCCTAGTCCAGTGCTGGTCAGATTCTTTGCAGCTCCCCAGCCTTGCAAAGGGCACTGACCTGTTCATCTGGGCCTGCAGCTGCTCTAGCCTGGAGCCCAACTCCTGAGGCCAGCAGTCTGGTCTCCGATGCAGACTTGGAGGACTATTCCTTGGGGGAATCTGCTGCATCAATTCAGGCCAGAGGCCAGAAGCATCTGAGATGCTCAGGGCAGGGGCTGCATCTGCAGGAGGAAAAGGAACACCTCTGCTCTATGTAGCTGGTTCCGTAGGTCTGTCTCTCCTTGGCAGACCCCATGCTCTTCCCATACCTGTCATGGAAACACAGGGTGGGGAGTGGCTCTCCTTACCTGGGTGCCTTGGGGCATAAGGTCCTACCCATATGAAAGTCTGGTTTTCAGGACTCAGGAGACTGTAGCCCTGGGAAGGAATCTGGGGCTGCCAAGGTGGGAATTTCTAGACTTGGTCTCATTGCCCTTGGAGCTCAGTCAAGGGGGTCCCCTAGAACCTTGGTGTGGAACCCAAGGGTTCTTGGTCATTACCACCCACCCCTGGAAGAGCACCCAGCGACCAGAGAGCCCTTGTTCTTAGGCTCTGAGGGTGTAGATCATCAAGGTGGGGACACGAGGGGAAAATTGGGACAAAAGCCACTATTCCTGATCCTAGGGAGGTCCCCACTCACCGAGGTGCTGAGGAGGCCTTTCCCCAGGGGATAAAAGGCCATGAGAATGGAAAGGAAACTGGGGTGGGGGGCTCCAGGAATGGGCTGGCTGTGCTCACCTGGCTGCTTGTCATTGAGGAAAAAGCCTTGGTGGTCTTGGCTGCCCGGACCCTGTTGGGGTGATGACTGGAAACCCCCATCTGCCTTGTAGGGAACAAGAGCATCAAGTAACAGGGACCAAAGCTGGGATGGGCCTCTTTGTTTCTCCCTGTCCCTGCTCCTCCTCTGTAGCCCTTGTCACAGCCAGGTGAGAAAGTGGTGTCAGGTGGCTGGCACACCAGAAAAGCTCTGGGCAGCTTCTTGCAGGCTCTCGTGTGTGTGTGTGTGTGTGTGTGTGTGTGTGTGTGTGTGTGTGTGTGGTGAAGGGCAGGTCGGGGGAGGTCTTGGGATTTGGGAGTGGAGGCAAAAAAGCTCCTCCAGTCCCCCTTTCCCAAATGCCCTGTGCTCCCTCCCTCAGCATGAACCAGTGGAGAGTTCTCTCTAGGCGACCAGGTTGGAACCCCCAATCAACTCCAGATCAGCATCTTTGACTGCTTTCCTCTTGGCACCATGAGACTTGGGGGCACCTTGGGGTTACAGATGACCCAGGACAC